AGGGCTCTCTGAAATTGAAACTAAAGGTCTTGAATTAATCACTGCCGTGATGTGGCACAACAGCGTCCGCTGCTCGTCAAATCCAAGAACCGAGTTGCCTATCGCACGGTAGAAGTGGTACTTGGCCGTCCTTACTGCAGCCTCCCATAGACCACCAAAATGAGGAGAGCTGCGGAGGAATGAAATGCCAGTCTATAGCCTCGACCAAGCAAAAACCCAGCAGCGCCTTCTGATGGTCAGCGCTGAGGACCAGGCGCTCTAATTCCATCAGCTCATTCTTAGCGCCGACAAAATTGGTTGCGTTGTCTGACCAAATTTGCCGCGGCTTTCGTCTGGTACATATGAAGCGCTTTAGTCCATGTAGAAAAGCAACTGTGGACGAAACAAATGAAGACGCAGACGTAGCACTTGATTGGAGCCTTGTGGCGTGCCTCCGGATTGTAGAAAAACGGCCCACAGAACTCCACGCCTGTGATCTCAAAGGCATGAGAACCATCGAGCCGCTCCTTTGGAAGATCCGCCATAATATGCTCCAACACCCTGGGCTTCAGTCGAAAGCATCTTACGTACTTGTTTACCGTCTTCCTCTACCCAATAGGCCAATATTGGGATCGAATTTCCAAGCAAAGCTCGAGGACCAGCGTGCAGATTTCGCTCATGAAAATGGGAGATTATTGCAAGAGTCAGTGGATGGCTGCTGGGCAAGATGATTGGATGACAGCCATCAAAATCCAACGAAGAGTTTTTTAGTCGATCCATGAATGGCGATAACGATGCGATTGAGCTCGATGGGGATACTGCTCCCCTTGCCCGCAGTGACTTCATGCCCTCCCATAGCTGAGTACGCTGGACTAGTCGTAGCAATACCTGGGTTCCATGTTCAATATTTGAGACAGTGAGTCCGGGGCGCCGAATTCGGTTGCAAAACTTGTCAATGTACATATCCGAAAACGCGTTGCAAAGGTTCAAATGAATTCGCATACTTGGAATCAGCAACAATGTCCATGTAGGGCGATTTAACCAGAAGAGCCTTCCGACGAAGTTCAAGGGCTGGCTTATCAGGTAGCACAGTGGGTGGCCAGTCATCTGTGGAGCCGCAAAGAAATGGAGGACCATGAGGACCATGACCAAAGAGGTGACTCATGCACCTCAGTCGGATGAGCCCCTCGAGACCGAATGTCGGCTGGGTTTAAAGCTGTAGGAACATAGCGCCATTCCATTTTTTCGGTCATTTCCTGAATCGTTGACACCCTATTTGCAACAAATATATTAAATCTTGACGGCTCGTCCCGAATCCAAGAGAGCGCAACGGCAGAATCACACCAACAGTAACACCTTCCCTTGTCCTTGTCCTCTTCCGGAACTCCATCCAGCACAGCACGGACGTTCGAACAACATTTCCTTAACCTGAACTGACCTCTAGACAAAATTCCAGTAGCTTGCTCCCGAATTCGGATAGCCTCCTCCTGCGAGCTGGCTCCAGATATCAAGTCATCCACGTAGAAGTCACGGCGAAGGATTTCAGCTCCAACTGGAAACGCCATCTGCACGTCCATTGCCAACTGATGCATCGCTCGCACAGATAAATAGGAGGCAGACTTCGTCCCATAAGTACCGGTGTCCAATTGAAACACACGCAAGTCTTCTTCCCTGGAGTTTCTCCACAGAATACACTGCAAGTTGCTATCCTCGGTCGAGACTCTTACATAACGATACATCTTACAGATATCCCCCGTAATCGCAACGGCGTATGACCGAAATCGAGCAAGAATATGAAACAGTTTGGGTCGGATTACGGGACCAGCCATTAAAACGTCGTTCAGGGAATATCCAGATGAGGTTGAAGCGGATCCATCAAAAACGACGCGAAGCTTGGTCGTAGAACTATCTTCCTTCATGACGCAATGGTGAGGCAAAAAATATCGGCAGTTGCTGATTGACTGAGCCATATAGCCCAAATCAAGGTACTCCTTTATAAATGCTGCATACTGAGATTTAATATCAGGGCGACGATCAAACTTTCTCTCAAGGGTCGGGAATCTACGAACCGCTTGATTGTAAGATTCTCCAAGGAGATCCAAATTATATTTTGCTGGCAGACGAACACAATAATCGCCTTTATGTAATAGACGGAAATGGTGGACAAAGTGTGCTTCACAATCTAGCTCTTCTTTGGTAGACTTTACTATTGGTTCGATGCAATTTTCTTCCTCCCAAAACGTCCGAAGAAGCACCTCAAGCCGGTCCTCTGGACTATTATCCTCAGCAGCTACGGCCCGAGCGCGAGAGACCATCAACGAGGAACCTTTTAAACGCGAAAAACCTCCAGACACGACCCATCCCAAGCGCGTTTTCTGAATTGAAGGCAATCCTGGCAGTAGCTTGACCTGACCAACACACAGGAGTTCGAAAAACAGACTTGCGCCGATTAGCAGATCGACGCGCTGCGGCTTATAAAACTCCGGATCACCTAGTGGTATGTTAGAAGGAATGTTCCAGTTTTGAGTGTCAATTCCAAAGCTTGGCTGTCGATCGGTTATGCTAGAGGCTACAATGGCAGTGATGAGAGTTGAGTAATCCGATGAGCGAGAGTGCAGGCTAACATTGACCGAAAATCTATCCGTGACGAAGTTAGAGTCGCCTATTCCCGAGACTGCAGTCGATGATTTCATTTTTCGTAGCTGAAGCTGATTCGTGAAACGAGAAGTTATTAGATGCAACTGGGAGCCGGAATCCAGCAACGCTCGGCAGGGAACTAAAACTCCGGAACGATTTTTGACTAAGACCGTAGCCGTGGCAAGTAGAACAACACCATTCCTGAGATCTTGGGTAATAAGGGCAGACGCTGAAGTAGAGGGCTCAGTGGTATGCTCAGCCGGCGTAGTCTCAGACAGCGCAGACTGAGATGGAGTATACGGCGCTGATTTCTCTTGGACTGCGGTATCTTCAGGGCTACCAAAATGAAGGAGGGTATGGTGTCTACCCCCGCAGGTACGACAGTTGCTCGAGGTGCACTGAAGTAATCGATGCCCTGTTCTGAGACAATTTATACACAACGAAAGCCGCTTGGCTTCTTTATGGCGATTTGTGGCGATTTATGCCCCGCGCAACATGCACGCTTACGGGCAACGTTATAAAAACATAAATTTCAAGGCAAAGAGTAGACCCACCATACTGTCTAGAGCTTGGACAGCTTATTGGATTATTGGTAATCGAAAGTTTAAAAAGTTGTTGGAAGCTGCCGTTAAATAAAAAATTTCTCCGTTGTTAAGGTTACAATTTGGCGTTTATTGTGCGATATTATTTGTGTGTTTATTTTAGAAGCAGTGGCCGTGAACTTAGCTTTAGGTGTTAGGTGCTTTCGACGAAAAGGACTGACCGACTGCCAACGGAAGGGTCGAATCAGTGGATTATGAGTAAAAAGGACGTTGCATATGTGTGTGCTTGTATGTACTGAGAGTGTACATAGATGAGCGCGATAACAGATAACTTAGAGAGAGGTTATTGACGTTACTTAAGAGCTATGAACGGTTGTTGCTCCGAACAAAAGTCTTTCAGAATACATAGAAAAAAAATGGATGTGTGCAAGCATTAGGGTTACTATCTATGCAAAGGAGGAGGCTAAAGCAAAAAAACTACCAAAAGAAAGCGGGAACTTTGTAGGAACTTTTACAGCCAATTATCTGTCAGAACATATGTGAGATTGTATGATTTATGTAACGAATACAACATATTTTAAGTGAGTAAATGCCGGAGTTGGTATCGGATCCGATGACTGCCGCATAATCTCTCTCTCTTTCAGTCTTTTGGTATCGCTGTTCGAAACAGGGACGAATTGATTTGTTGGTTAATGCGGGGAGGGTGGAATTTTGGTAGGAACGCAACGCACAAATCAATCTTAATTTGGCTCGTATGCTCACGCTTGCATGGGAGACTCGAAAAACATAGAGAGAAAGGGAAAAACCACGACCATGTTTAATGTTAATGTTAATTCTGTTTTAATTCTTGAACTTCCTTTATCGTCTTTTCACCTAATGATCTAATAGATCTCGCTCCCCTTTACAAGGGGTGCGCACGAGGAACAGTGTGGGTGTGTGAGAGAGAGAGAGAGAGAGAGAAAGCGAGAGCAAGAAAGAGAGAGAGAGAGAGAGAGAGAGAGAGAGAGAGAGAGAGAGAGAGAGAGAGAGAGAGAGAGAGAGAGAGAGACAGCGAGACAATGAGTAAGGGAGGGGAGGGGAGGGGGCGGCGCACGGTGGCGAATCAGACGAAAAGTGGTGACAAAAGTCGTAGATTTCTTTTAACGCTTTGCATACAATATACGCATCTAATAGTTTTTTCCAGTGCTTTTAAAAATCAAATTTTCAAATAATCGGACTTTAAGTTTAAAAGAAATGAGCACTCAAAGTTGAAAATTGTTTCGGTATGCAAAATTTGTTTTAACTTTTATTAAAATACTGCGTCTTTTAGGTGAAAAAAAAACTATGTAACGTATTATTGTTTTTGGTAAAAATAAACTAACTTAAATTGTTTCAGTGTTCACAGTTGTACAAAACAAAATAAATAAAAAATTTGTGTCGTCACACTAGCTACAAAGAAGGATCAATAATACGAGAGAGAAACACACGAAGCATCCAAGCATCAACTGAAGATGGTAGAAATTCAGCACAGCGAGAATGGGAGACAATAAACTGGCTGGAATTCTGCACGGCCGGAATGGAAGAAGATCAATTGAAGATTGCGGGAATACAATTCATCAAACGACGAAATTTTACTTTTGAAACAGTCAATCACCTTTTCACAAATTATAGTCGCCCCTTAAAGTCGAATGTAAAATACCAGTATTACCACTTATAATTGCGCATTTATGTAGATTACGTGCTATTTTAGCTTCTGTCTTAATTAGTGTATTTACTTAAAAACACATAAAATCAAAATTAAATTTGACATGGTGAAGCCATTCTTCAATAAATCAATGATATAGTAGCCACTATTGCACTTACCACTTAATCGTTCAAAAGTCATATAAGATATTGTCTTTCCTCTCCTTGGGGTGTGGAATGCCAGCTCACGATTAAAACACGTAAGTAATTGAGCTCGGTTTCCCTTTATGAAGTCACTTGCAGGATGACTTGGTATTTATAAGTGCAAATCAAGAGCAAGCCAATCGCACCTATTTAAAGTAACATTCAGTGCATATATGCAATGATTGTGAACAATTTTATGTGTGGTAGTATTTCAGTGATTAAGCATTTGAAATAGTAACCCTGGACACGCTTGTACCTCAAAATATTTATTTCTTTTTGGATGTGCAAATTTCTGTAAAAGAAGAAAATTATTTTGTTGAATTTGTAGTATTTCAGTGATTAAGCATTTGAAATAGTAACCCTGGACACGCTTGTACCTCAAAATATTTATTTCTTTTTGGATGTGCAAATTTCTGTAAAAGAAGAAAATTATTTGTTAAATATGTACTAATACCTAAATTTTTAAAATTATTAAAAAATTATTTAACAAAAAAAACGAGGGTGAACGTTTTGAGTCGCTGCTACGGCCGCGACTCTATATTTATACCCACTACTCAGTCGAAATGGCTCCTCTCCGCCAGAGGGCGCACACATTCTACTACAAAGACATTCTACAAAAACGAAATCTAACGGCAAAATACGGCATTTGAAGGGTTGGTCAAGCGGCTGCACTCTAACGACAAAACAAAAACATAAGGAATGAATATATTTCGACTTTTCCCGAGCTTTTAAAGTCCAACATTTCTGGAAACAATAACACAAAAAAATATAAATTTGGCATTTGAAAGCTTAATATAATCCAGACGGTAAGTTGAAGCTACAGTTGGGGGACGATTTAAAGCTGCATTGATCAGTTTTCCATAATTGCAAAGTTTAATACAACCACTAAAAAAATTAGCAGTTTTGAATTTGAAAGCTTTATGTTTTCCAGATATCCATATATCCATATTTTTCCATATTTAGATATGCATGCCCATATTATAATAAATGGGGAATGCTTTATGGTGGCGTTCTCCGATTCTGCGGCGAACTGTGCGCAAACCAATAAGATTAAGTTTGGACTCATCCGAGTGTATGATTCGTGAACACTCAGATTTACCAACATAATTTTTAAGCCGATCCAGAGGCTCGTTTCATAATAACTTTCCTTACCCCATTGCTAAGATTGGTACCACAAATTATTAATTCATTATTGATAAAAAAAAAGGCAGAATTATATTTAATTTTGAATAAGTGTAAAAGAAACAAATTATCTTATTGGAAAAAATACGTTTTTCTAATAAATTAAATATTTTCTTCCGTTGGGTCAAAATTACCCAAAAAGCGTTACAAGCGTGTGATTTTAAAAATAGTTTGTTTCTTAGTATATGTTTATGACATAAAAACAGACAAAGACCACACACTGTCTTTTGTTTGAAATTGACTAAGCGACAACAAAAAATAAAAAAAACATCGTCAAAGAAGTCAAAAATACATAAAATTTCAGAGTGCTGCTTTTGATCTCGCTGGGTAATACTAATACTGATCTTAATTTTGAGTTATTTTTTAACTTTGACTTGACTTTATTTTCGGGAAGAAACAATAGCATCGAAAGAAAAGCGTTTGGCTTTCAGAAAAATTATTATGGACGTCTGAAAATCGGAGTTCCATAAAAATAAAAATATGAAATTTTTACAACACACAAAACCAAACCAATTTGTAAACGTATGCACCGACGGGCAGACATACATAGCTATGTATATCGACGAGGATATTAATGCTTTATGGGGTCCGAAACACTTCATTCGGGGTGTTACACACCTATTCACCACAAATCGAATATACCCCAATACACCTCGAGTATCGGGTATAAAAAAAAAAGAATTTAAGTTACGAATTACGTTTCACACATTCAAAAATGCAAAGCATCAAAATATAAAAAAAAATCTAGAATTTATTCTATTCAAAAATGCAAAGCATCAAAATATAAAAACAAAATCTAGAATTTATTCTATTCATACTATTCGAACTCATTCTTAGTCCCTATTAATTGGCCTGGATTTGGGTATGCTGGAAAGTCTCCAATTTGTTCAGTACAACCACTTACCATACACTATATACAGTGGTGGACAGTGAAATGGGGACACTCATGTTATCTAACTTTAAACCAGAAACTTAAAAGTCAGTTGGGAACAATTTTTATTGTGTAGATACACTTATTAGCTGTTAATTAACGTATCTTTTTCTTAAAAAAAGCAAGAAGTTAAAACCAAACAAAAAATGTATAACACGCCAAAAATTACTGAAGATAATAGGGCAGCTATGTATATTGGCATTGGGGTCAAAAAACATTAGTTTTGGTACTATTAGCCCCAAACTTGGGTTGAGATAGTCTCCTTTTAACAATTTTATATACAATTTAAAACAAACAAAAAAAAAAAAAAAAAAAAAAAAAACGGTACGGTAAAACTATCCCTTAGGAAGTAGGAGGACGACGACCTCCTCAAGGGACTATCAAAGTAGGATCGTATTCTTACACACTTCAGCATCTAAAATCAGATCAAAATGGCATAAGATATTCAGTCGTTAGGTACCGATATAAGCACCAAAACTTTAGGGTGGCGTCTTCAGGAGATAGAACTTGGTCGGCGGCCAGCAAAAATACCACTTTTGACACTAGAAATGCTCCAGCAAAGTCTCCAATGGTCAAAACTCAACGAAACTTTCACTGTAAACGTAATGTTTCTTGTTGATCTAAGATAAACGTGGCTCGTTGGGAAAGTAGGACCAATGATCGTCGCGAAGTCGGAAAAGCAAGAGGGAACAGGATGTTCTGGGCATTTTTTTACTTTGCATTTTAGAGTAGGGCATCTGGCATTAATTGACGGATATGTAAATGCGGTCACGTTGAGGACCACTTTCCGCTTGCTGACGCCCTCATCTTCTAGGACGTTTCTGCTCCTTGCCACCGTGCAAGATTGGTCAGGCATATTTTTTTCAACTTTTTTATTTTATTGATGGTAATGATATATTCAAAAAGCTTCATTTTCCAACGATGGGTTTTCTTAGCTAAAGTAATCCTTATCAACAGTGGGAATTAGGACATTGGACTGGCCGTGAAATGGTCCTGGTTTTAATCCGATTGAGAATCTTTAGCACACCATAAACGTTGTAATATGAAAGCTCAAAACTCCAAACATAAATTTAAAGAAATATTTGAAAAAGTATGGCATAACGATATAAACATAGCATCAATCTGCAAATTGGGAGGTCCCAAGCTTTCCCGTAGAAAACTAGTTCTAAAACACCGAGGTAAACAAAAATATATTTAATATTCATGGAATTAAACGTGGTAACAGAACAATTTTATTTGCGAACTAAGCACCTAGTGAGTACTTTTTGACTTAAGGATTCTTTTGAAAAAAAGGCGTTTGGACTCAAATTTTAATGTGTTCCGTTATCCTTTTGTATTGTTTAGTTAGTTTCATGAGTTTTTTTCTTGAAAAACAAAACAAAAACGAGGGGGAACGTTGTGAGTTGCTGCGGACACCGCAACTCTACAGTTATACCCGATACTAAGTCAGTATGGCTCTCCTCCGGCAGACGGCGCTAATATTAAACGAAACGACAAAAAGTGCGTGCGAAAGAGACAGAAAATCAGTCTGCGCGTGACGTCGGGCGCTGCGTAGCCACTGCAAATTGATTTGTTCCTTATGGCTATAAAAATGATCTGATCTGATCCAGATTCAGCATTCTGATAGATATGGTCATTATCTATGATTCTGCGTTTTTAGTTTTCTCAAATCTGCAATATTGTGGATGCAACAGATTTTCGTCCTTTGTGGGAGCGGAAGGGGGTGGGGCGAAATTTTGAGATATACGTTTTATAGTGAGATAGTGAGGAGTGCGGATACTAAATTTGGTTACTCTAGCCTTAATAGTCTCTGAGATTTGTGGTTGCCTCAGATTTTCGTCCCTTACGGGGGCGGAAGGGGGTTTGGCGAAATTTTGAAACTAACTCGTCAAGGTCCGATATCACAGGAGTGTGGATCGAAAATTTGGTTGCTCTAGCTCTTATAGTTTCTGAGATCCTTGAACTCGCATTTTTCAATAATATTTATAGATTCTATATAATAGAATAAAGTGTGTGATCGTTGCGCGCATTGTGGCTTGTGCATGTCGGTCACGCCAATATTCAGGTTTTTCTTCACTTCTGCTACCGCCGAGGGATGCTCTGCGATCGAAAGAGGAAAGTAACAGTTGGACTAAAAGATACAAAAGCAGAGACAGATGTAGTTTTGCAAAAAATTTAAGGAATAGCGAAAGACATATAAATCTTTCTGTTAAGTGTCATGCGCTAAAAATATTGCACATCGCTTTTAATTCTAGGCACAGACGTATGATATGTAATTAATATTATTGCAAATATATATGTATATAACACCAACGAGGGAGAACGTTGTGAGTTGCTGCTGCGAACGCAACTCTACATTTATACCCGATATTTAGTCAGTATGGTCTGGTCTGATGAGCTCGTGAGGTGGCTCAAAGGGGGCCTAGCTGAGGCCACCGGACGGGTCGCAGGTTGCGGATAGCGAACGACCTACCTATATACAGTTCATATAGGTGGGTCAGCTGCGAATAAGCGGACATCCCTAGGGAGAGTACCGAAAATAAGCAGCCCTGGACAGCCAGCGGGTGTTCGCGAAGTAGCAACACTGACGATGCGCTTGTGTTGCCGCCTCGTATAAGTAGCTCACACACTCCCATCCATACACAATACCTACCCACATCCCAACCCCCACACCCACCTCACACCGGGCCGGACTAAGTGTGTTATTCGACCCGTGTCGAGAGTCAGCCTGGCTGGGGGCCCGGTATATAAAACTAGCCCAGTCGTTAACGGAGAGCTCAGGGACTTGTCAGCCCCCTGTTCTAAGTATGCCTTATCCGGGCAACGTGGATCTCTGCCCGGACGGACCGTACCTTCTCTGCAGCTCGTGGGAAAAAAACGGGAAAAGAAGACCAAAATGAGTCTGGCACTCCCCAAATGCCAACAGGGAGCAATCCCAAACAGGGGAAGGCAGCGGCCCAAAGGCCTGGCCCGACCCGCAAATCAGCAGTGAAAACCTGCGCGGCGGAAGATGCTAGGGAGAGCCCAAAGGGGTCCCATCCCGGTGTCGGGGTGGGTGGTGAATTGGCTCCCAAAACCGATACCTTGGCAGAGTGGCTATGCAATCCAGCGGCAGCTCTGCCTGC